TAAAAAAAAAAAAAAAAAAAGTATTACAGCTTTGAACCAAGAACAGAGTAAGCAAATGATAATAAAAACTGTTCATTTTTGGTGAACTGTCCCTTTAAATCCACAGTGGGAACCAGAAGCAGTTAACCAAAATATTCTAGTGTCAAGATCTTTCATCTTCATTCACTTTAAAGGGGTCATATGATGTTGCTAAAAAGAACACTATTTTGTGTATTTGGTGTAATGAAATGCGTTTATGCGGTTTAAGGTTCAAAGTCTTTGCAACTTTACAGATCTTCTTTATGCACCAAGAGCTTGAAAATGCTCCAAAGAGAAAGGAAAAATTTAAATCGCATATGACCCCTTTAATTGCTTTTTGCTGCAATATAAATCTCTTGCTATGACTACACTAGAAGACCTACAAAGAAACAATACAATCAATAATTAAAGTATTTTGAAACAAGCTGGAATTCTTATTGATCTCTAAACAAGTGCATGTGTGAATACCAGCAAATTTGCACAAACTTTCTATGAAAGATAACATCCATCCGAGAAATTGCATTCACATAGTTGGTACAGAGCGGTAACGTGGTTGAGAGATAGTTTTTGTAATTGCTATGATTATGTATTGCTGTTCATTCCATCCCACGCGAAGTGGTGTTAATGAGGTATCCACAAATTCAAAGCTGTTCTGCATCAAAATCAAAGTGCCGAGTTGAAAGAAGCGACACTATTAGAACTGTCCTTTTATGTACTGAACTGCTACTGACAATTTCACACTACAAAGCCCTCAATGTGCTATCACATAGAGACAAAGCAAGCACTCTTTATTCCTTCAAAGATAAAACAAGCGCAAACACACTTAATTCTTTCTCTCTCTTAGTCTGTCTCCCTCTCTCGCTACTGTATCTTCCACTAAGTTCTTTTGATCACTTGAACAATGCATATTATTTATTTAGTTTAGCCACTGGAACCAAAGCTGTGAATTGTTTTATAAATCCCATAAAATGGATTATTACTTTCTTTATGGCCACTCCCAGGCCTTCTGCAGGAAACCCCTGAAGCACAATAAAAATGCTCGACTGTGATGAAATGTTTCCATTAGCAGTAAAATGAGCTCATTCACTGTAGGTTCAACTATTGCAATCATCATAACTTCTGAACTGAAACTATCTACATGTATTACAGATGTGACGGATTAGCCAACAATGACTTTCAAACACTATGTGCATCTTTGCGAGTGTCATATTGTAAGGACATTTGTTACTGCAAATGTGTCCAGTGAGAGAAATGAAGCAATGTTTCCTGTGGAGGAGGATACGATTTTCCAAGGCAACGCATATGTTGCTGCCATAACAATAAGTGGCAGTATCTGAGACTGAAAGCTGAAGGAAGAGGAAAGCTATTTAGGAAGTTCTATTCAGTAAACTAGAGGTTCTTAACTGGTTTTCCTCAGGACCCAGATTTTGCATTAAACAATAAGTGGTAGGCTAATGAAACCAATATTAAAATAAGAACTGATACTGTCAAAATATCAAAATAGCCTCAAAATATCTTCCTTGCACTGTAAAAAATTATTTAAATAAAACCGAGATAATTAGGGTACATTTTACAAGAAAATATTATTTCAGTTTTTAAATCAAAATTTCATGATTAATTAAATGTGTTACTTGCTGTTTCTTTATAATTGTTTGTGAAATGATTAGCCATTTCTGAGTGTGGACAACAATTTGTGTGTGTGTGTATATATAAATATTTATATATTTTTTTTCCCTACCTTGTATATATACTTTCTTATTAATTTATATAAATATGTGTTTTTTTTTATTGCTGTTCATAACCCTGTCAGAACAAAGTTGTGCCTGTTTTTTAAGTTGTGGCCCACCAGTGGAGAATTACTGGTCCACACATTGTCTTCATTTTCTCAATTCTTTTCGCTTTTCTCTTTCTGACAGAATGTATATGGCCTCCGGAGAAGGCTGGACCACAACAACATGGAAACCAAAATAACTGCAGCTGCCCCTCCACGTCTCCCAATCATGCTGTATACTATCATCTTTGCAGCCCTGACACAAAACATTACATCAACTGCACTACCAGGACAGCCAGGAATGGAAAGCCGGGTGGCCTTTTTAAAAGAAGATTTTAGGACATCTTTCATGCATCTTTCATCAGATGTTTTGACATCGGTTCACTTTTGCATAGCTCCAATCATGGACAAGTGGCACTCAATCTGTGTGCAAAGGACCATTTTACCTCAGTAATAAGATTTAGATAAATGATATCCATGCAAAATCTGTTTTTTTTTTTTAAATACAGTAGCAGGATATGAACTCTCATCAGTGACAGGGAAGGAAAGGTGGTCACACAGACCTCTGGAAAAAGAGCGCACAGGTTAGACATCCACAAATACTCCACTCCAGGAAGGATGTTCTTTCCCAAGTGCTGTCAGGCACGGATCTATAAATGGCTTTAGATAATAAACGTCCCCCTTTAAAAGGGGGATTACCACTGGCTGACTCAGTCTCAATCTATCCAGCCTTAAAACATTGCATTGCAGATATTTTTGTTAAAAGATGTTGATTTGTTATTCACGACTCTACCAAATCCACTGAGATCAGAAATATACTTAGATAAATGAAGACATCCTGTATTCAAACCAACCTCATGTGGTGTCTTTAAACCTCAAAGATCATCAGTGGGTCATCAGATCAGGTTTATGGTCCAGTTCAAAATTAGACGGACGATTCAAGTTTCTTCTGCTAACTTTGGGTCTACATTTAGCAAACTACGTGTTTGCTTTGAGAATTTAGAGTCTGTAGGTGAAAGTGAAAAAGTGAAAGTGACGTGACATGTGGCCAAGTATGGTGACCCATACTTGGGTGGTCACTTCATAACCTGGAGTCTCACAGAGGTGATGTTTAAGAGTTGACTCAATCATCTGTTTAAATCTGGCATAATTTAACGTTTATAATGGGTCGCTCCGGCCGGACAAGGCATCACAATATGGTAAGGGGCGTAACATTTCCTTCACACGCTTGAGGTATTCGGCCAATCACAATGCACTGGATAGCTGGCCAATCAGAGCACACCTTGCTTTTCAGACCGATGAGCTTTGTAAAAATCGACGCGTTTCAGAAAGGCGGGGCATAGAGGAGAAACAATAATGTCCAGTATGTGGAAAATAATGTGTTTTTTTTTTTTACCTTAAACCGCATAAACACATTTCATTACACCAAATACACAAAATAATGTTCTTTTTAGCAACATCATATGACCCCTTTAAATAAAACTCAAAGAGAAGATAAAAGTATTACGGACCTCCCCAGATCATGAAAGGCGAGAATTAAAACATATGATGTGAGTGAATCAATACATGACAGTGTTTGTATTGTCTGTTCCAGCTGCTATTTCTTATACTGACTTTCATGTGTGCTGCTATGTTTACACCTCTGCATCTCAGCTGATGAAAGGAGAAATGAGTATTGTTTGGATCTCTGGCAAAAATCTGAGGTCCTTGTTATGATAAAGCTGCGGTCTCATCGCTGTGAGTAAAGGCGGGTGAAAGGATGTGACTGAGACACTAATTCAGCAGATGCAACAACTCTATATAACGCCTCAGTAGATTATTAAAAGAGTTTCATGTTTTACAGCAAGATGTTTGCAGAATCTGTTGATGCATCTCTTTTATCACCCTGATATGAAATGTGTGACTACTGTCATGTTAATAATTCCTTTCTATTTCAAAAAAAAAAGGCTTCTCACTTGTTATGGGTATGCCTGGTTCAACCGTGCTCGGCTCGGGAGTGCTTCCATCCTCTTCTCCACTGATATCTAAAGGGAAAAAAGTGATGATAGTTTTTAGTTTTTAGTTAAAAAAAAAAGTTTGAGGATTTTGAAAATTAGTCTTGTATGCTCAGCAAGTCTGCAGTTTATTTGATTACAGAATTTATGAAATATTGTAAAAAAAATTATTACAATTTAAAAAAAAAATGGTTTGCTATACTTTATATTTTAATATTTGAAAGTCATTATTTTATTTATGTTAGTTATTATTTTATTAATGACAAAGTTGAATTTTCAGCAGCCATTCATTTAGTCTTCAGTGTCAGATGACGGCTCAGAAATTATTCTAATGTGCTGATATGCTGCTCAAGAAACATTTCATATTATTATCAATGTTGAAAACATTTGTGTTGCTTAAAATTTTTGTAAAAGCTGTGATTTTTTTTCAGGATTCTTTAATAAACAAAGTTCAAAAGAACAGCATTTCTTTTCATTCAGCAAAATTATAGAGGTCCTTACTGTCACTTTCAATTAGGCATAATGAATAACCACATCACTATTCCTTATTTATAGGTACTCAGCAGTGCAGCATTCAGATAGTCCCACCTCCTGAAGGATCATAGTACTCTTCATCATCCACATAACCTCCCGGCCGCTTGTTTTCCTCCTCTAAATCCTCTGGAAAGGGCACCTCATCCCACACTTTAGAGCTCTGAACCACCTGTAGTCAAAACAAATGAAACCACAATTTATAGGATTGAAATCAGCATCTCCAAACACTTCTTGAGTTATGAGAGACCTACAGAAGAGAGACAAAAACAACAGTCAATGCCTTCTAGCTCCGCTGAAGGAAGAAGAGATAAATATCATGCCTTTGTGATGTGCATGCACAAAAATGCATATCACACACATCATAGAGACATGAAATGCAAGTATAAAAGCTGTCCTTAAAAAGTATTTGGACACTACCGTCTCACTTCAAAATGTCTGAATGTCACAGAATTAAAGTATCAAACCAAGTGTCATAGGCAAATAAATAAAGCTAGAGCTTTTCTCAACAAAAAAACAACAACAACAATTTTTAAGTAGCTGGTGTCAGTGTCTGCAGGTGTAGCTAATCACATCAGCTATAAACGTATTCTACTAGTGTGACAACCAAATACATATACATACAGTATATGTTCGTGCATATGGGTGTGGTAGTTACCATGGTAAATTTCCAACATAAAACTGTTAGACAAACATCTAGGTAAACACCTGTAACACTCTATCCCATTTACACAGGGTTGGTAGTCAGGAAATACTTAATCACACCCATGAGAGGTCATAAAATCCCAGACATAACTGTAGTCTTTGATACAGCATACATGAAACCTCTTGTAAATATTATTATCTACTGCGTGTTATACTGCAAATGAGTAAATAAAGATTTATGAGGGAAAACAAACTTCTGATTTCCAAGGAACATTTAATATTGTTTGGCATTTTATAACACTAAATACATGACTTGTACCCCCTAAGATTCAACCAACAGTTTGTCAAATAGATATCTATAATTAGTAAAAATGCAATTAAAACTGCATGTATAGATTATTATTCAAAAGTTTGGGGTCAGTAAGATTTTTTTTTAAATTTAATAATGTAATATTTTGCTTTTTTAGGTTTTATATATTCAAATAAATACTGTTCTTTTGAACTTCATATTCATCAGAGAGTTCTGCAAAAAAAAAAAAAGTATCACAGTTTACACAGAAAATATTAAGCATAAGACAAGTTTAACATTTGATAATAAGAGATGTTTCTATAGCACAAAATCAGCATATTAAAATGATTTCTGAAGGATAATGTGACACTTAAGACTGGAGTAAAGATTGCTAAAAATTCAGCTTCGTCAACAAAATTAATAAATTACATGTATTTAAACAGGAAACAGTTATTTTTAATTGTTTTTTTCCCTGTAATTTTGATCAAATAAAGCCTAGGTATGCATCTGAGATTTTTTTTTTAATCTTACCGACCCCAAACATTTAAACGGTAGTGTCAAACTAATTTAATCAAAAATAAAATATGAATAAATGAACATATTAACAACACCTGTGGTATCACATGACATGACAAATCATACAACACAAAAAAAACAAAAAAACATGAAAGCAACTTTATACATGGATTCTTTGGAAGCATTTTGCATAGTTAGCAGAAACTTGAACTCATCCACACAACCAGCAGAGCCTTCTGCTTATTCACTTCTTCTTTGGTCAGCAACAAAAGCTTTGATGATGATTTTATACAATCATGTCTCTTCTGCAACCCGGTTCTCATCTTCACATTTATATACGTGTTTGGCAAGATGCCACATTTGGCATTGTTGGTCTTCATAGCCCGCCAGTTCCCATTTACCTGCATCTCCATCATGGCCGCAGTTCCCATTTAAATGGCTCCCGCAAATAAATAACTTGATCTCCCCCCAAATCCTTTCTCTCCTGACTGAACACTCTAAAACAACAATCCTGGAGCTTTTTCAAAATGAAATCGCTGACTGGCAAAATTTTTTCAATTGGATCTGCTCAGCGAACCTTTGGTGTGATCATCGCCTGCTTCCCTGTCCCTTGGGATGAAATCCTCCCGAAACGAGACACTCTGTCATTATTGTCATCCATAATTGTAATTCAGCATATTTTTGGAGAAGACTTGAAAAAGTGTATGTGTCAATTTCATTGTCTCCAGATATGACACACAACTTAGCTATAAGGGGAAAAAAATCACTACAGTATTAAATAATTAAATGTTGACTGTTTTAACTATTGACTATTATTACAGGGTATAAAAGTTAAAAGTATAGCTCACCCAAAAATTTAAGTTTTGTCATCATTTATTTACAATGTTCCATACACACAACTGCATTTCTTTTGCCTAACAAAAAAGAAGATGTTTTGAAAAATGTGCACACTGCTCTTTTCCATACATGACAGTGGATAGGCTCCAAAAGGACAAAAAGCACAATAAAAGCATAATACAGGTAGTCTTGCACTATATTCCAGTATTCTGAAGCCAGGTGATAGATTTATGTGACGAATAGAATGACATGCAAGTCATTTTTCATTCAAATATTACTAGACAGTCATGGTCACCATTCGCTTTCACTGCATGAAAATACAAACAGGTTTCAATGAAGGTGAGTAAATGATGACAGATGTTTCACTTTTGGGTTGATTAATATAAAACCAAGAAAACATCTAAACTTTCTTATATTCTCAGGTCATTCTCCAGCCTTAGAAGGCTTGAGTTCACCTATAGCCAAGGAAATAATAGCACAGACAAACACACAAATACTGCATTCCACTGTCAAAGGAACCCCACTGTTTACTTTCCAATTATGCCATTCACTCTGCCAAAAGTTTGTTCTGCAGGAACGGCAAATAAACAGACAAAGAGCAATATTAGATCCCATCGTTTTGCAAAAGAAGTTTGAACCTGGTGGAAAGCCTCAAGATTACACTAGGGTTTACCCAGCTGGTGTTTACAAGGCAAGAAGCCATATTCGCTGTATCTATGCCCGGGGACAATTGATAAGCAGAGAGAGCAGGGCTACACAAATGTAATGCAAAGGGAATGAGATGGCCTCAGCCAGCTTTCTTGGACTTCCACACTTCTAATGAGTGACTCACACTCAGCCTCCAAAGGGCAATAATGATGGCTAGAAAGGCCAGATGTGCACTGGTGAAGTGTATTGGAGGCTTATCCGCTCTCACACACACCCCTCTCTGGCATTTCCAACCCTCAATAAGGCCCACGTCTAATTTCCAAGGCCTTACGAGTACAGCGTGAGAAAAGGATTTTAGTATTTCGGGGGGTTTTTCAATTTGAGTGCAGCTGTGGCAGCAATAACTCAAAACTCAATATTTGCAACATGTTCCTCTTTCAAAGTGCTGTCAAAAAATAAACATTACTGCCATGTCACACTGAAGTTGATACAATTTAAAAAACGCCTCTTAAAAAAATGTTCATGTTAAACAAAAAGTATGAACGATGACAATACAACTCTCGACTACTGAATTGACTAGTCATTATCTAAAAGGCAATGGTAGCAAAATGGAATAAAATGCTTCAAGAGTGGCAATAAATTCCAGTACATGAAACCTGGACTCGCCACACTGTATTACATAAGGATTTCATGGACGTGAAGGGGATGACGGTTCTTATAAACACACAAATGGAATGTAAACTGTAGAGCGTTAGGTGAAAGCTTGAGATATGCACTTTATACCCTCATCTGAGCCAGAACACCAAAGCACAGCCTGATACAGGCAGATCAGAGGGCAAACTTCCTGACCTCCATAAAGCAACTCACTGTATACTGCAGGGCCAGAAGTGCTAGCGAATTTCCATTACCCTTCTCCTATCATATAATGCACTTCCTCTCTTGCTAATGTACTGCTTTTAGCCTTGTCCCTTTCTTGAGAATAACTGAAAGGTATAAGGGAATAGTTGACTGGTGCTCTGTTCCAAAACCTAGTCAGGAACCTAATCTTAATGATTTAAGATACCTTGTTTTAGCCAAATTATAAGGAAGCACTGGTCATCTCCATGCAATTAACTCAAAATTGCAGACAAGAAACTTCTATTCCACTTAAAAACAAAAAAAGTATCAAAAAACAGTTAGTGTAAATAAAAATGGACTTTTACCAAATAATTAAGTGTGCCATGAATTACTTCATCAGAGTATCATGCTTGTTAGCTTAGCAACATGCTAACATCAAACTCTTCACGCTCTTCGTGTGGGAGATGAAGCTTCTGCATATGTAGAATGTTCCAAATCAGTCACTTATGAGTTTCCATGATGGTTAGCAATGGTTACCCAAACAGGCAGCTCACAATGTTTTGGAACAGTGCTAGGGTGAACGATGAGGGAGTTGATGAATGATGAAGCAGTGAAATTCACTTTTTCCACACCTATTATCCACAGGGGCTATAAAAAACATCCATCTGACAGGCAAAGGATGACAACAGAGATAAGACAACAGGAAAGATTTATGTATGTGCAAGAAAAAAAAGATATCAAAATGCATCCCACCCAGCACCAGACGTCATTTGGACGTCGTTTTTTGGGCTAAATCAAGTCGGCCCGTCATGGACTTCTTTTAGCCCAAAAAGCGACGTTGAAAATTGGTCTATGTTTGGTCCGTCGGATTTGGTCCAAATTTAGCCCAAAAAGCGACGTTGAAAATTGGTCTTTGTTTGGTCCGTCGGATTTGGTCCAAATTTAGCAGAAGCACGTTTATTTCGGACCACATAGCCCTAATAAATAGATTAGACATTTGACATGAAGCACTGTTGAATATATTAAAATATATTTTGAAAAGATATTTGAAAAATACATAATATAAAGCTTAAAAATTGTTCCTCATGATACATGTGTACGAATATTCATGCGTTAAAAAAAATTCAATGTTATTTCTGCACCACGTTTACCATTTCTAAAGCTATTATTATATTATATGATATTATAAATTCTGCCTGACTTCTACGTGCTTTAATGGGTGCGCGCGCTGAACCGGAGCGGAGGAAGTCACCATGGAAACGGGGCGGCAGCTCAACTGTCAGCAGCAACTCCCGTCTCTCACTGTTTTTTTCACTAATTTCAGGTAAGTTTAGTCTCTAAAATTACACAAATACTACATACAAGCGTTCCTGACACTTTCTTTCATGTAAATGACACGC